TGACAAATTATTGTATAACCTAGGGGTGGACCGGTTTCGGTTTTGGCCCAGCCGGGCCTCGGTTCATGAAAGGGGAGGCCCGGAACCGGCCCGGGTAAACCCAGGCCGGGCCGGGCCGGGTAAACCCAGGCTGGGCCGGGCCAGGCCTCGGTTCTTGTATTTTTTTTTTTTGGCTTTTCCTAATTAACCCACAACCCTCCCCCCTCACCCCCAAACCACCTCAAATGGCCCATCATACCCAGCCCAACCCAAAAACTTAAAAAAAATCAAAAAAAAAATTAATTTGGCCCGGACCGAGCCCGAACCGGCCGGGTCGATTCACGATTAGGAGGCTCGGGCCCGACCCGCCTACTTCACCGGGCCGGGTGGCCCGAACCGGGCACCAACCGGTTCACCGGGCCGGTTCGGGCCGGGCCTATTTAATTTTTTTTTAATTATTATATAATTAGAATAAATCTTATTACAATTACAATATATTATATTCGAATTGAAGTATATTTATTTCAAATAAGAAGTACAATTGAGAATTAGGATGAATTTAAAAAATGTAATACATTTTGTAATAAAAAATCAATCGGACTCTCCGCCTTCGGTTGTTTCCTCCATAAAGTGGCGGGAGGGAGTGATGGTAATTTCTTGAGTTCTTCGTTGGGCCTTCAACCAATCGTGAAAGCAAACTAGTGTCTCAAGAGAGCTCGGGCTCAACCTCGTTCTAAAATCGGTTAGGACGTTGCTGGCCGCACTGAATTCTTGTTCCACGGCAACGGTTGATATCGGCATTGCTAGTACTTGCTTAGCCATCTTTGATAAAATCGGGAATGTTCTTTCATTTTCCTTCCACCACTTAAGAACGTCAAAGTCATCACCAACTTAATAATCAACATTCAATGTTAGATACAAAGAAAGCTCGTTACTTGAGCTTTGTTCAGTAGCGGGAGTTGCTCTACTTTTTTTCAAAAGAGAACCAAAAGCGGATTTTAAAAGTAATTTTCCTTTAGATGAAGAAGATGTTCGTTGCATGGGAGGGGGTGCATTACCATATTGTGCATGAAATTCATTATACAATTGATGAAATAAATTACTAACCTCGTTGAATTCTTGTTTAGGGTCGATGGGATTATCATCGAACTCTTGAGTTGGAAAAAAAGAAGCATAATAGTAATCTATACAATTTGCCAAGTAAGGAAGTTTATAACGAGGATCAAGAACAAATGCAATACCATATATATGCGGAATATGTGAATAATATTTTAAAAACTTTTGTTTCATGAAATCACAAAAATAACTAACGTAAGCGGCGTCGGAAAATTCACAAAAAGCGCCGGCGAGATTAACAGCTTCAACAAAAAATTCGTTTGCGGTAGGTTTAAAAACATGACTAAAAGTTAGAGTTGCGTTATTAAAATATGCCAAAACATTAACAATTTTTTCACAAGTGTCGATGTCAGCCGGGTTTATAATATAGTTACAAGTTTGTCTTAAAAAAGCTGGAAAATGATCTTTATATCTAACAAGTACTTGAATTAAATTATAAGTACTATTCCAACGAATAGACAAATCTTTAGGAAAAGCACAATAATTCACACGTCTATCCTTCAAATATTGCCGCCATTGCATTTTTAGTGGAGTGTTAGCCCAAATCAATTTAATTCCCCCCTTCACTACCTCCAAAGCATTTCCTAATGCCGCTAAGCCATCTTGTACACACAAATTTAGAATATGACATGCACAACGTTGATGAAAAAATCTACCCATCAATGTAGAAGCACCACACAATTCACGTAATCTAGGTATAGCAGCAGTATTATTACTAGCATTATCAAAACCTACAGCAAACACCTTATCAATCAAATTATACTCAATTAAAATACGTTCAATGAGAATATAAATATTATCAGCAGTGTGACGATAATTGAATTCACGAAAAGCAAGAACACGTTTATGCATATTCCAATCATCATCAATATAATGTGCAGTTAGACCCAAATAATATAAATGATGATAAGTATCCTCCCATATATCGCTACAAATACTAACACGTCCATCAAAGTTTGCGAAAAATATTTGTAATTTTTCTTTTTCCAAGTTATATTGCCTTATAACTTCTTTTTTAATCGTTTTGCGACTATAATTTCTAAATTGAGGATTTAAAGTACCTTGAGCATAATCTCTTAAAGCAAGACTTTCGGAAAAAATAAAGGGTAAATTTTCTTCAACAATTAAATGAGACATATCAGTCAAATGTTTTTTATCATCATAGGAAAAATTACCAAAGGGTTGAGAATTTGCAAACCTTGATATTTGTGTTTGCTTCCCTTTTCCTTTGTCTATTTTCGCATACTCCACAACGTGGGTGGACTGAAGATGCCTTTTGAGACTCCCGTATCCGCCAGAAATTCCCAAGCTAAACTCTTTCTTGCAATGATTGCAACTTGCGTACCATTTTTCGGTTTTTTCGTCTTTCCTTTTTGTATAATTGTTTTCAATAATAGCAGATTTAGATTTCTTACCAATTTTGGTTGTAGTCGTTGAAGGGCCCTCGTCCTCTTGCTCATCATCCGGAGTCTCGTCGCCCCCCGCGTCCTCCTCCCCATCGTCATCCTCGAGCTCCTCTTCATCGATGGTTGTCGGGAATTGTTGTTCTTGTGCAAAACGTGGATCATTTTGGGACAATAGGTGTTGTAGTTCCTCGTCGGACATCATCATACCATCTCGCCGTTGGTAATCCGTTTCAAAATCATCTCGACTTTGAAAAGAAGACTCGGCCCGCGCTTTACCTTTGCCTTTGCGTGAAGTAGATCGAGCCGATGCAATCTCCCTCTTGCGGTTGCGTTGGAGATTACCCACATCTACAGAATGTCTACCACGCTCCATCTTTAAAATTGAACAAATATTAGCAATTAACTAATATGAGAAATGTAAAAATTAACTAGTTTTGTTATTTTAATGAGATATGTAGCAATTAACTAATATGAGAAATGTAAAAATTAACTAGTTTTTTTTACTTTAATGAGATATGTAGCAATTAACTAATATGAGAAATGTAAAATTGTAGCAATTAACTAATTAAATAATATGAGAAATGTAAAAATTAACTAGTTTTTTTTACGTTAATGAGATATGTAGCAATTAACTAATATGAGAAATGTAAAATTGTAGCAATTAACTAATTAACTAATATGAGAAATGTAAAAATGTAGCAATTAACTAATTAACTAATATGAGAAATGCACAAATGTAGCAATTAACTAATATGAGAAATGTAAAAATGTAGCAATTAACTAATTAACTAATATGAGAAATGTAAAAATGTAGCAATTAACTAATTAACTAATATGAGAAATGTAAAAATGTAACAATTAACTAATTAACTAATATGAGAAATGTACAAATGTAGCAATTAACTAATATGAGAAATGTAAAAATGTAGCAATTAACTAATTAACTAATATGAGAAATGTAACAATTAAGTAGTTTAACTAATATTAATATGACAAATGAAACAATTAAGTAATTAAATAGATAAACGAGAAGTGTATATATAAATCAAATGTATAACTATATATAGTATATATAAATATATAATGTGTAAATATATTATAAGTAATATATAATATAATGTATAACTATATATAGTATATATAAATATATAATGTGTAAATATATTATAAGTAATATATAATATAATGTATAACAATATATAGTATATAATATAATGCGTAAAGAATTATAATATGAATGTGTATAAGTATATATTTATAAGTAGATAATTAATATTATAATATATAAGTAGATATAATAATTATATAAATTATATATATGTAGAAAGAATTTGGAGAAGATGAAGATGATTAAATATGAGAGATTAAGAGAATAAAGAATTTAGATTTTAGAGAGTAGGAAGAGTTGTAGAAGAAGAGGTGTAAAAAATGTATAGAAAATAGGAGTATAAATAGGTTTTTTTTTGTATACCCCACCCCACCCCCACCCCCACCCCCCCTAACCCCCCAGACCCCCCCTCCTATGCTCCCAACGGCTATAGAGCCGTTTGGGAGGTCTCCCAACGGCTAGTAGAGCCTTCAAATTTTAAATTTTTTTTTTTTTGTGACCGTTAAGGCCCGGACCGGGCCGGTTCACCAAATTATAAGCCCGGGCCCGAACCGCTACATGACCGGGCCGGGTGGCCCGAACCGTGACCTAACCGACAAACCGGGCCGGTCCGGGCCCGCACAGTAGCGGGCCGGTTGGCCCGGACCGAGTCCACCACTACCTGGGACCGAATGTGAGTTTGGGACCAGCCGGGTACCCATTCTTTTCTGGGTTAGTTCGGGGCCTCTTTTACTATTACCCAAGACCGGTTCCAATACCAATTATACTTTGCAAATGTACAAGTCAATGTTATGTTTCAAACAAATCTAAATTCATTTTTAATGTGTAACATTTTTATCTATATTAGTAATATATTGAATTTAAAAACACACGCCCGAACTACCCCGAGACCGGACCAAGACTTGTATTATCCAGGTCCTTTTCAGACCTACATCTTTAAGAACTGGGACCAGACCGGTACAGAGTACACACTATTTGAGTGCTCAGCAAAGCAGTCGCACCTTACCTATTCAACTGTCATTTTTTTGGCAGGTTCACCTTTCCTGAAAATTGCTAAAATACTAGTCCGACGTATGGTTGGACTCGGGCCGGGTCGGGCCCGGGCCGGCGGTTCTATATAGCTGGACCCGGGACCGGCCCGGGTAGCCACCGGGTCCGGGTCCGGGCCGGGCCTCGGGTTTGGTTTTTTTTTTTTTTGCTTAGCTACCCATCCCTGACCCCCCCCCCCCCACCCCCCAAACCCCTCCTAAACATCAAGACCAACCCGGTGGAGCCCAAACAAATGAAAAAAACCCAAAAAAAAAAAAAATTGGCCCGAACCCCTCAAATCCCTCCTAAACATCAAGACCTTGAACTAGTGACTAGTGAGCCTTGAGAGCTTGGAGGGTGACTAATGGATGGGGCTTCCCTATTGCTTTATTTAGACTTTTCATCTGCTCCGTTTCTTGAGTCAAACTGTCAAAGCTTTCCATATTACTCCATATTTGCCATATTCTTAAGAAATCCCCAAACATTCACTTGAGGAATGAAGATGCATAAATAGCACACTCATTACAAATAACCGATGGAATAATATATGTAACCAAAGAATTAAACTTAATTTCTTGCACACCTAAACTACAAAAGTGAGCGGAGAAAGTAGGGCTCATATGCTCCAAGTCGTATACTTTATTTAGAGGTGGCAGTGGACATCTTTCCGTGCAAGTTTGATGCAATAAAAAACATCGGCTTGTCTGCTACCTGTTGGCAAGAGCAATCTCATAAATGCAAGTGCACAAAGATCATAGAAATCCAAAAACACCAACCTACAACTAAGCATGTATTCTTATAATATAAGCACAACAATACCAAAGCTACATTTTAATTTTTAATACAGATTCATAGCAGTACACATGAGAGTCTGTTCATCAACAAGTCAGTATCTCCATCATCATTTTCATTTTCATTTACCCCAGTGCCGCAAAGGCTCCCACCAACGGTGGGGTAAGGGGGGGTCGGATGTACGCAGTCTTACCCCTGTGCTAAAGCACAGAGAGACTGTTTCCGGATGACCCATAGTGAAAATCGCGTAGAAAAAAACTTACTTGGTCAAGATAATTTTTTTAAAATGGTAAGGTAAACCTGTTATAACTTGAATTTGTCATTAATCTTTTTTACATTATTGAAATTTGTTGTTTGTTTAACTCAATTTACTGTATTTAATACGTGAAAGCTTTTAGATTCATCACACAAATTTGCTTGGCACTCGAAAAAAAGAAAATTTAAACTTCACTTTCTTTTGGTATGATATTTGGAGTACTTCAATTTTTCAATATGGAAAAAAATTTATACCTCATTTCATCAATTTGATGAGCTCCTCTAGCGATTGATTGGAGTGTGCATCCGTGTGACTATCCTATTTACTGCATCGCGTGACATGACTAATGTATCATGTAGCAGAATACTGTAAACATTTAACCCCTGCCAAGAGTACAGAACATCCATGAAATTAGAGAAAATGATGAGAGGCACAAATAAAAAAGTTCAAACAAATCAGGTCTTTACACCATCCGATCATAAAATAACACTAAATTCAAATTCCAAAGCAGTTTTGAAGTTTTAGAGATTCAGAACCTAGATATCTTTCAATTTAGGACCCGGAAGAGTGAGAGTTTAATCTTCTAAGTCTTATATTGATAGCTTAGTTTTACCTTATGTATTGGATGCTTCAAAAGCTAAAGAGGCTTTGAAAAAGATGGGGTGGAAGAATGCTCAGATGACATACCAAACGACGCTATGAGAGGTTTCGGTGAGAGAAGTGTCGAGTGGGATAACACATTTCTTGAGCAAAATTTGGAGAAACAATAAAATGTCAACTAGTTGACAGAAGAGTATTTTTATCCCCTTATTTAAGAATAAGGATGATGTACAATACCAATTATTGAGGGAATTAAGCTTTTGAATCACACGACTTACACCACAAAACTTTCGGAGTGAGTGATTGAGAAAAAGCTCTGAAAATGTGTATAGATTTCAGAGAACCAATTCAATTTTATGTCATGTCGCTCAGCAACACCTTCTGAGGCAACTTGAGAAAAAATATAGAGATAGAAACAAGAACCTGCATCTGATGTTCATCGACTTAGAAAAGGATTATAATAGGGTACCTCTAGAAGTTCTATGGTGACTAGAAAAGGCGAATCACATAAGTATATCAACATCATAATGGATGTGTACAAGGATTGTACTACAAGAAGTATTTGTACTAGTGTAGGGGAGACTATAGAATTCCTTATTACTATTGGAGTGCACCAAAAATTGGTTAGACTTGAGTCCTTTCTTATTTTAGTCACATATGAACTCACGAATTCAATTCAAGAATATATACAATAGTGCATGATGTTTGCTGACAATATTGTATGAGACAACTCAAACAAGTCATGTGTTAGAGCGAAGTTGGAAGATTAGCGATTAACTTTGGATGCTTAGTGGAGGGTAAGACTAAGTATATGAAGCGCAAGTCTAATGGAGGTAAAAACAAAGGTGGTGAGATAACCTTAGATGGTAAGGAAATGCCATTCGGTGAAATGTTCAATTACTTGAGCCCCATAGTCCAGAAGGGTGGTGAATTAGATAGAAATGTATCCTATAGAACATAACATGGCGTATGGAATGGAGGAGTGCATCAAGATATTTATGTGAACGAGGTATGCTGACTAGACTAAAGGATAGGTTTTATAAAATAGCAATTAGACCTGCATAATTAAATAGCGAAGAGTGTTGAGCAGTAAAACAACGTTGAATTCAAAATACTAATGTGGCTTAGAAGCACATTTTATGGTAATGTGTGGATATACTAAAAAAGACTACTTAAGGAATGAGACAATTATGCAAAAGGTGGGAGTAACATATATTGAAGATAAGATATGAAAGTCTTGATTGCGATGATTTGGCAACATGTGTAGAAGACCGAGTGATGCACATGCATCACCTAGACGAATTGAGAGATGAGGAGAAGAGACGAATAGGAGAGGAAGAGGATGACCCAAACAAGTACGGATTAGAATGGCCGGGAATGACATGGTTCTTTTTTAGTTAGATAAGAGTATGATTTTGGAGAGAGCAAGGTAGAGGGAGAGTATATGTGTGAATGATTGATCTCTTTTTATCTTTTCCAACTTCGATTCCATATGTCAATTCATGTTAGCCGACTCCAAACTCTTTTGGGAATAAGGCGTGGATGATGTTATTGTTTTTTTTCCATAATGATAAAAATAAGGAAAAGGGAAATAATCTCAAAAGCTTGATTAAACAGACTACCGTGTAAAAACTGAGGGAAGTGCCCATAAGCCGTCAAAGAGACCTAAGTGTAATTATCATATACTTACAATAGAGGGCAACACATTTACATAATGTAGATTCTGAGTGGCTAACTTCAGGTTTTCACTAATGGGGCCACCATCAACCAGACAAATTTTCTTGGTATTCTCCATCTTCTGAACATAACTTACAATGTTCTTGGTTTTGTGTGAGGGTACATCCATATTCTCGAAAACCATGAGCTGCAAAGTATGAACATGTTCTATTATTAGTTTGAATAAGTGTATCTCCATAATTATTTTTGTCTTCAGTCTTACCTTTCCCTCCGCTGCGTACGCAGACAAAGCAATCTTGAGACCCAATCGACGAACCTTCTTGTTCAGTTTGATCTCATGACTTCGGGGCTTTGGGCCATGCATAGTTGCACCACCACGAAACTGTTTCCCCTCAACAAAAACTATTAGTATTATTGTGTAACAACTCCAAAAACAAAAACAAAATAAAATTAAACACGCAGTGCAACTAAGAACCGAAAAAGTGAGAAAAGAATACAACCTGGTGGCTACGGAGTGTTCCATGCCTTGCCCGACCTGTACCTTTCTGTGGATAAGGCTTCCTTCCGGTTCCACTGACCTCACTAATAGTTTTAGTTGAATGTGTTCCCTATAAAAATTACCAGCATTAATTCCATACATAAAAAGAAATCAAATATTTATGGATATTATAAAATTAATATCATAAGATGTAATTAGTAAAAGGTGTCAAGTTGTACAACTCTAAAAAAATAGTACAAAAATAATAAACCATTCTGTAGAGAACTGACAGAATGTTACACCATGTTTTGATGGTTCAAAATTCTCTGCGGAGTATAAACCAGTTTTTTATTCATTCCAAATGAAAATTCATCATTTCCTATTCACAAGTTTCAAGGTAAATCAATCATTCCAATTTGTTTAGATTGCAAGACCTACACACGGGTAAATGGAAGTGGTAATAGAACTAACAAAGAGTAAACTATCCAAGCAAATATTTTCTCAGCCTCCCCTATATCAAAATAAAAGCCATTGAATTGGTAACATACCTGCTGACGCTTCGCAAGCTGCCATCTTACAACACGGTGTATAATGTCCTTCCTAATCGGTACATCAAAAACATCCCCAGGCAACACCATTAAGCCCATATCTTCATTATGGAAGTTTGTTACTGGAAAAACCAGGTCCTGGCAGAGTCCTGTCACATCAATGAAGTAATAACGATACAATTTAACAAAGTCACATAAAGTTAAACGAAGACGACATTAAAATAAATGGCAAAATTAAAACACTGAGGTAATACAAGAGGTCTCAATAGTGATATCGAAGTATAACAAACAGGAACAAACAAATCAGAATCCTAAAATAGCTTTACAAAAATAAAACTCAAACTTTTATAAGTGATACTCCCTCCGTCCCGTTAGAAGGTTCCCGTCCACTATTCTCATGGTCAACTTAAATCATTTTTAATCTTTTACTTTATAAATCAAATTTTTGCCAAATTTACATTTTTTATCAGGCTTTGTAGCGGTTTTAATGTAGTTTCTGAATATGTTAATTTTATTTACTAAAAATAAACAGATTGTGAACAGGGATTAAGTTGCTTTATCGACAGTCAAGCATCGTAAACCGTTCACGGGAACCTTCTAGCAGGACTCAGGGAGTATTATAAAAGTTGATAGTTTTAATCAACCATAAAAACATCAACATTACCGCAGTGCCGCAAAGGCTCCCATGGTGCCACCTAAAGTGGGGTAAGGGGGGGTCAGATGTACATGGCCTTACGCCCTTACCCCCCCCCCCCCCCCCCCCCCCGTACAACCACAGAGAGACTGTTTCCAAATGATCCATGATGAAAATTGCATGGATGATAGAGCCTTCGCAAATCCAGAATTAATCACAGAAGATTAAGAACAAAGAGAAAGAAAACTGAATCTCATTCAAAGGAGGTAAACCGTACACAATTGTCCCAAAGAAGGAGATAGAACTCCAACTTCCCAGACAAAATGTCTAAAAAAAACAGCCTGCCTTCCCTCTGCAGTCTTATTCTATTTATAACCTTCACATATCGAAGGTAGTTATTAGTTACTAACAACTTTTAACTAATAACTAGCTAGTCAACTTTGACTTTCTAGAATAGACTTGCCCATAGAATCTATTCTTATTATTTAGACTAGCCGGATCCTTATCAATACCCCCTCCTTGAACTACCAACTTGTCCTCAAGTTGAAATTCAGGGAATTGATCTTGTATTACTTGAATATCCTCCCATGAGTCTTCGAAATCAGGAAGTTCCTTCCAACTAATAACAGCTTTTAACTAATAACTAGCTAGTCAACTTTGACTTTCTAGAATAGACTTGCCCAGAGAATCTATTCTTTTTATTTAGACTAACCGGATCCTTATCAATGGACTGACTAGTGCTTCATAACAAAGAAGTGCAAACAGTTTAGTGAGTCATTTTGAGCGCAGACAGTTAACAGTTTACATACCTATTTCACGTTCAGGAGCAAAAACACGCTTCTTTGTCAATAAATCCGCAGGAAATTCACCCTCACCAGAATCAGGAGTTAGGACTGATGTTGAAAATCTTCTTAAGCCCTTTAAGCATTTGTGGATAAAGAGAAACAACATAGAAAAAAATATTTAGATGTGTTTATGATGCGCATATTGAATTTAACGTATCAAATCTACATTTGTCCATGGCAAATTTCTAAACTCACCATCATGATATTTTCCTTGCACGTAGATAGACCTACATTGATGACAATTTTGGAACTTCATCTCATTATTCAAATAGAAATTGCAACAGGAAGAGAATCCGACATAAAACTTTACCACCAAGTTTTTTCTGCATTAGTTTATAATGTTATAATTAACTTTATACAATTAAATTCAAGGTTATAATAACACACAAGTGTGCATATATCGCGAGGTCTGAGCTGACTAGGCAAGTTCATAATAACACACAAGTGTGCATGATAAAGTTCTGAAATTGATGAAATTAACCAAAACACTTGTGTTTTAAAGTCGAGTCATCAACACATAAAACAGGCCACAAACATAATGCAAAGACTTAATCCTTCAAGGAGTCCAAACAAATGAGCTCAACAGAAAAAGACCTCCACATTTATCCATTATTACATTCATCCTCCAAAGGAATATCACATCTTATGTGCCCATCCTCTTTATACTCGCTGAAATTCCTAATTACAGGACGTGGTTGTTCCAGGCTTGAAGATGTGTGCAAAAAAGTGTAAGCTAAAATTACTTAGGATTCTCTATCGATCACAGTTGGGTTAGATATTTTATACGTAGTAGATAGTAAGCTAGATATTTAGTTGAATAAACTATTTGTTTTTTATTATTTGATATTCTGGGATATAGGAGAAAAACTATTAAACAATGTATTAGTTAATGTAAATAATGTAAGTGACCACAAACTCTTTTGGGATTAAGGCTTTGATGTTGTTGTATTGGAAGTGTCAATAAATTAGTGCAAAATAGGTGTTGACCACTTGAGACATTCAAATAAAATTTTGTTCACTATCTAAGTTTCTATAACATCATGCATACAGGGTTCATCCTCATTTTTGGTATCCTCCAAAGAATATCACATCTTATATGCCAAGCCTCTTCATACAACAACATCCAAGCCTTATTCCCAAAAAGATTTTTAACACTCTTCATCCGATTCCTCACTATAACAATCCATTGTCAATGTAAACAATTCTTCCGTGAAAAGGGCATTTGGAGGAAACTGGACTGAGCAAGGAGAGCAGAAAGCAAAAATGTGAAAAGTAAAGATCAGTCTTACCGACTCGAGTAGATATAAAGCGGACTCCCATTGAGCATATCTCCCTGCATATAGCACACATCTTCATTGAAAAATAAAAAAAACGTGCAGAATAACAGATACAGTAATATGAAGTTTTGCATGATTCAGTTAACAGTACTGATACCCTGTTTCACTCACAGAACACTCTCACTCACAAGTACTTTAGGGGAAATACTCAGATTATGGTACACATGTATGATTTAATATTCATTCTTCATAGTAACTGGTAAGTGACCATTGGCAAAACCCAACATATTTGGAAAGCTTATATACACCAGGCTGCCCTTTACTTTTTAATAGTCATAATATAGAAGAATACCATCAAAATGGAGTAAAAGAACCAAAGATGAATATCATTATCTCAAGAAATAGGTACAAAATCAATAATGGGATACAATGGATTTTCTTCTTGGGGACCAAAATTTTTGCACACCAGTCCACCTCAGTGGCAACTCCAGTATCATATATGTTGTAATGATCATACAAGTTCCCCATAAAAATCACCAGCAGATGGTTTATCTCTGTCCTCCACTACTCCCTTTGGAACCCAAATGAAAAATGACTAGAACAACGCATAATATAAACATATCTCTACTATGTAACTCTGGGGAATTTTGAGGAGTGGCTGCCAAATTCAGCCACCACCCAGATCTCTCGAAAACTAGAAACATGTTTTATTATAATGCATCATACCATTACGGATTACCCGAATACATTTCAAGAGCACATCATGATCCCACCAGTCTTATTTAACATTTTATAGGACATCAACATAAATGACGGATTTTATGGGACCAATTCGCACAACTGAGGGTTGAAATGAGACGGGAATACCGAATTACCAGCAGTTCCATTTCAAATCGGCAAAAATACGTTTAAGATCCTAATTTTTCACGTTGCATTAAGATGACAAGCAGCCCACTAGAGCACATTAAACCTTTCAACAAACCAACCAATTTATTAAATTCACACACTTGAATCAGGATACGACGAGAAAGAAATTGGAAGGAAAGGGGTGCAAAGCATACTCGGAATTAGAGACAATAGATGGTCGGTACGCAATGAGAGTGTTGGTAGAAGAAAACGGAGCGGCGCCCAAACGCCTCCCTTCCCGCATCAGAGCAGCCATCGCCATCTTCATCCAATCTCTTCTTCTACTGGACTGATGAGAAACTAGCTAGGGTTTTCTTTAACGGATTCTTGAAGCTAAAATCCTGTACATGCGATGGACAAGCTAAAATCCTGTACATAGATGAAATAAATTTAGGACCTATGGAAAACTATGAATATAGGAACTGATTTAAAATTATAGATCTAGGAGTTAATTATCATAAATTTTATTAATTTTTTTTGGTAAAATTTTAAATCATATAGTTTTATTTTTCTTTTTATTTTTTTATTTCTGACTCCATAATATAAACCACCAAAATCAATGAGATAAATGTCGGGGACATTTACCAGATACTTCGTATTATTAAGCAACAAAAGAAATACAAGCATTGGGGGACCAAACCTTACCCGAGGAAAAGTAAAACATATTAAAATCTGATAGAAGGAATGACAAAGTAATCCATCCAAAAAGCTCATTTTACAGAAATAGGAGTTTGATCAAGCCCAGAGAAAATTTTCATGCTATCCGTCGAGATTTGGGCCAAGTGGTGCGCAACCTAGTTCCCCTCCCTTCTCACGTGACAAAAACTCAGGAGTTTCCTAAGAGCAATGTGTGAAACTTCTTGAATATCGCCCGTCCATCTCATTTCCTTCTTCCCTGCCAAACACTCCAGGGCCAAACAAGAATCGGATTCAACATGAATATCTTCATATCCTTCCAAGACCACCCACCTAGTAGCAGTAAGGATGGCCTTTAGCTCCGCCTCCATTGCTGAAGTGGCCACCACAGGGAAACAGATAGCCACCACATATTTCCCACTCCGCTCACGCAAAATCGCACCTCCACTCGCTTCGTCAACTAAGTATCGGGCATCAACATTTAATTTCCATTTAAGTTAAACCCCTTTTACTTGAAATTCTATGGAATTAGCTCTTCTTAATATAAGATATCTCCAACAACTCGAATCTTAGAAGTAGACAAGCTAGCAACCCAACTCTGAGTATACATTTTAACTTGAAAAATGATAGCAGCTGAAGTAGGGATTCCCCCTCCAGATCCCCAAATTTGATTTGTATATTCTTTCCAGATAATCCAACAAATGATACCGGGTAAATTTTGTTTAAAAATGTCAACCATGTTAATAACACCCTTCTTAAGCTGCCAATAGTTTAAATGACTGTAATCCAACCCATGGGTTGATAAATTCCCAAGATACTTAAGAAGTATTTCCATACCTCTTTAACCACTGCACATAGATGCTTCATGAAATCATTGTGTCTTCTACAGAAAGGGCACATAGAAGGACATAGCACAATTTGAAATTTACTAAGATTATCCGAAAAAGGCAGGATTCCCTTAGTAATTTTCCATTGCAGTAATTTCATTTTGAGTTCAAGTTTAGTAGCCCAAATCTGCTGGTAGACAGAAGAGTTAAAAGTTAATGCTCTGACTTCATCATAAGTTGATCTTAGAGTAAATTGACCATCATTTTCTTCATTCCAGGACAATCTACCAGTTTGGTCCATGGTGCTCAATTCTGATCCATGATCATTAGCCGAACAAATTCACATCCAAATAGCTGAATCTGTTATCTTAGGTATCATGCTACCATTTCTGTCATATCCAGTTTTCATGATTTGAACCCAAAGCGAATCACTTGTCTTCCATTTCCACCACAATTTAAGCGTAAAAGTCTTTTCAATGTCAAAAAGCGAACCACTTGTCTTCCATGGTAGGAAAACACAATTTGGACCATTTTATCCAGTGAAACTTCTTTTTTTCATTGGATGAACCCCAAAAGAAAGATGTCATCTTACTATTTAACACCTTGATAAACTTTTTAGGCAAAGTATCCACTGCTAACAGGTGCAAGGGAATAGAACTCATCACATGTTTATCAAAATAAGCCTCCCCCCTCGAGATAAATTCCTTTGTTTCCAAGGGAAAAGTTTACTTTCAAACTATTGAATAGTGTTGCTGCAATGGTCAAATCTATTAATTCCTTTGTGCAGGATGACTCCAAGATATTTAATCGGTAAGCCGGCAATCTTCATACCCAGGAGATCCTTAATTTTAGCTTGCCTTGCAGGAGAAGATTTCCCACAAATGATCGAGCTCTTTGAAAGATTGATAGCCTGCCCTGAAGATTTCTGGTAATTATTCAGAAAATTTTTGAACTGTAATAAGGATCTAGATTCTCCATTAATAAAGATTAACAAGTCGTCCGCAAAACCAAGATGAGAAATCGCTCTGCCCTTATTTCCCATCCAAAAAGGTTTAATTTTATTATTATCCATCAACCAGTTCAGCCCCTCGTGAGAAGGCCTCTGAAGCAATAATAAATAAAAAGGGGGAAGGGGATCACCCTGCTTAACACCTCTAGTTGGCTTAAAAAACCTTGAGGGGAACCATTAATAAGGATAGATAGGAAAGTAGCCCGAAGATTATTCATAATCAGTGGAACAAAATGGTTAGAGAAGCCAAATTTCAGAAGGATATTTGATAGAAACTGCCAAGAAACTCTATCAAACGCTTTCGCCATATCAAGCTTAATAATCAAATTGCCTCCTCTTACCTTCTTGTCAATACAGTGAACCATTTCCTGAGCTATTAAGACCTGATCAGCAGCATCCCTATTGGCCATAAAACTAGATTGTTCTTAAGAAATAATTTTAGGAAGAATAGATTTAAGTCATGAAGCCAACACTTTAGTGCACACCTTATTTATGAAGTTAGACAGACAAATAGGTCTAAAATCACTGAAATTAGTTGGTCTATCAGACTTTGAAATGAGAACTAGTAAAGCACTAGCCATCCCTTGAGGAATAGGAATCCCCAACAAAAATTCTTGAACCGCCCTTGCCACATCCATACCCACAATACTCCAACATTTTTTAAAAAATTTCCCATGATAACCATCAGGCCCAGGAGCACTATTCTGATTAAGATCCCAAACTGCTTGCTTCACCTTCTCCAATTCAGGCATGGCTATAAGATAATTATTATCCTCTTAACTTATTAAATGTGGAATGTGATCTAACATCTCACTGTTTTCAGACTGTTCTGCAGTGAATAGACCAGAAAAATACTCCTCTGCAACCCCTCAAATGAGGGGAAGAGTATTGACTTCCTGACCAGCCAGATTTTTAATAGAGGTAATGCCTTGCTTCCTTCGTCTGATTTTAACAAAGGAATGAAAAAATTTGGAATTGCTATCCCCATCTTTAATCCACTGGACATGAGCTTTTTTCTTCCAAAAATTCTTCTCAAGCTTGTATTTTTGAGTAAGCAAACCTTTTTTTGTAAAACCAGTCCTCCCTGGTTTGGTCACTAGGAAAGCTTTCATAGGCAACCTATGCTTGTAGTACTTCCTCTTCACAGGCTTTGATAGACTCAAAAATATTTCCAAAATGTTCCTTATTCCACTTTTTCAATACTGTTTTGAGGTTTTGAAGCTTGGAGACCAGACCCCTCATTCCCCCTAATATTCAAAAGAATTCCAGCTTGACTTTACCAGATCCATAAAAGAGCCATTGCTAAACCACATGTTTTGGAATTTAAAACTCTTAGGACCATTAATACCAACGTTAGCACATTGAATGAGAATAGGACTATGATCCGAAGGTGTCTTATTTAATAAATATACTTTTATATTATCAAAATAATCCAGGAAATCTTTATTAAATAAAACCTTGTCTAACCTTCTCCAAACTCTACCGTTATGTCTGTTGCCAATCCAGGTGTACTTAGGGCCAGAATACGAAAGATCAGTCAAGTTACAAGCAGTTATACAGTCAGAAAAATCATTCATCCCAGGTATAAGAGGCATTGCACTACCTTTATGCTCACTATAACTGACAATGGCGTTGAAATCACCCCTACCATTCAAGGTTCATTTATACCTGTAAAAATAGAAGTAAGCCCATCCCATAGCTCCCTTCTAGTAATATAATTGTGACGCTCGTAAACACCAGTAACCCAACCCTTATAGAAATTACTCTGAATCCTGAAGTGAGCATACTGTTCATGCCAAAGAATATTAGATATATCTAACTCTCAAGATTCCCAAAACAACCAGATTTTAGTGACAGGAGAAGAAACTACTTTGTCAAACCCAAGAATCCTTTTATAGTGATCAACCTTATTAATAGAAACAATAGGTTCAATAACTATAAGTTATTGTACCCTCCATTGATTAACTAGGGAAAAAAGTCTAGAGCTGGAGGATTCTAGACCCCTAGCATTCCATAGCAAACAACTCATTGGGAAAGAGTAGTAGAAATATCTCCCCTAGCTACACTTCTAGTGTTCCTTCTATGATGATTTTATTTAGTTATGTGCCTTTTGTTTGCCTTTCTTGTAACCAAAGTAAAATCATCATCAGCAGATGTCCCTGCAGCTTGATCATCATGGCTACTATCATTATGAAGTTCCAGAAGATTAATATAAGACTCAACTGGGACATCTTGATTTTGATCATCTTATTTAGTTGCCTGTTCATTTGCTTTGATCTTAACAACTGTCTCCACACCTGCAAAGATTTGGTACCACAGTATGATCCTCTTCCCCATCTGAATAACACTCCCTTGGTAACTCTGTAGATTTAAACATCTTATAGATGTGAGTGTCATATTGTATGCCCCTAATTTTCATAAGATCAGAATTATTTATCCCATGAATCTCAGTTTCTAACATTTCTTGTATTTGTTTTCTGACTTCCACAGATGGCAGATCCATGGGATCCAGAAAAACCTCCTCTATGTCCTGTTCATCCTCTGACTGAAGCTGCTCAATAGTTATTTTAGAAGTGGATTGTATATGTGCTTGCAAATCTTCTATCACTTTGTCTTTTCCTTTTTCTTCACATGTAAACTTAATAGACTTTGGCTTCTCCTTTTTCTGAACCCACTTGTCTTTAGGCTGATTATTGATATGTTCAGGCTGCTTCTTTGGACACTTCCCTTTAGAGTGGCCTAAATGTAAACATTATAGGCAATACTCAGGCCTGTTTTTGTAGATAAGATAATAGCCTGGGAAAACCCAAAAGTTCCACAATTAATCCAAACTTTTGAAGGCATCTCCTTCGCTAGATCCAGTTCTACACATATTCTGGCCACAACTGGCCTAGATA